AAATGAAAGCTATCAGACAGCTGCATATTGTGGTAAAAGCACATACATTGATCAGCAGCAACATTAAAATCACCTGCCTAATATCGTGTAGGTAGCCAATACATGTGTCGAGGCAGGGACTTCACAAGGCCTCTGAATGTGTCCAGTGGTATCTTGCACCAAGACATTAGCAGCAGCTCCTTGAAGTCCTGCAAGTTGCGAGGTAATGCCCCCATAGATCAGATTTGTTGTTCCATCACATCCCACATATGCTCAATTGAATTGAGATCTAGGGAGTTTGGAGGCCAAAGTAACACCTTGAACTCTTTGTCATGTTCCTCAAACCATTCCAGAATATTTTTAATTTTTTTAATTGTGGCAGGGTGCATTATCCTGCTAAAAGGGTTTACCATGGTCTAAAACAGTGATGGCTAACCTTGACACCATAAATTGTTTGTGGACTACATTTCCCATGATGCTCAGCTAGCTTTTAGACTCTAAAAGCTAGCTGAGCATCATGGAAAATGTAGTCCAGAAACAATTTATGGTGTCAAGGTTAGCCATCACTGGTCTAAAACAATCTCTAGGTAGGTGGTACACGTCAAAGTAACATCCATAGGAATGCCAGCACCAAACATTTGCCAGCAGGACATTGCCCAGAACATAATGCTGCCTCTGCCAGCCTGCCTTCTTCATCCTACTGCTATCTCTCCCCCAGGTAAACAATGCATATGCACCCAGCCATCCACCTGACCTAAAGGAAAACGTGATTAATCAGTGGTGGACAGGGGTCATCATGGGCACTCTCCCATAAAACTGGGATGCACTGTGTATTTTGACATTTTTTTATCATGGCCAGCATTACTTTTTTTTATTTTTTTTTATTTATTTTTTTAGCAATTGTGTGATCATACCAAATGGGTTTGCATTCGATCACCACGTGCATGAGGGAGTTTTGATAGGAACTAACCCCACAAGACTTGCTGTTTTGGAGATGCTCTGATTCAATCATCTAGCCATCACTACTGGGCCCTTGTCAAGGTAATTTGTTTGCCCATTGTTGCTGTTTCCAACACATGAAATTTAAGAACTGACTGTTAACTTACTGACTAATACACCCCACTCCTTGACAGGTGCCATTGTAATGATATAAGCAATGTTAATCACTTGTCAGTGGTTTTAATGTTGTGGCTGATCAGTGTATGAAATGTCTAATATATAAAAGACAGAGCTGTTTTCGGTTTAGTACAGTGCAACAATATTAAATCCCATAAATTATGATTTACAAGTCGTGTGTTGCCAGTCTGACTACTTTCCAACATCTCAAATGGACAAAGAGGGACAGTTTAATTACGGTGGTGTGGGTGGGGGTGTGCCCAGGGGCCGGACCCTTTTGAGATATTTAAAGTGGCACTGTCTCCATCTGGGGACTTTGCTGAATTTGCAAAGACCCCCTCTGGTAAAATTGCCGCTGTGGGTTTGGTGGCCAAGGAGGTGAGGTCAAGATTGAGAGATTTACTTACCTGAACCAGTCCCTTGTGGGCACCGCCGTCTTCCTCCTTCTCCTTTTGAAGCGACAGGAGCCGACGTCACTGCTGTACTCTCATGCATGTGCGAGACTACAGCATTGAGGTCTTTGGAGGATCCCACAGGAGTTCCCTGCAGCCATCACTGGTCAGGATTGACACTATAGCTCCATCCAGAGTCCAAGTAATTCAGGTGAATTAAATATACAAAGACAAAGTAGTCCCTACATTGTCTCTGTATGTCTCTAGACGTGAAATTCCCAAACCGTCAAAATAAGTATTTCATAAAGATCCTATCTTTATGAAATACTGATTTTTCAGGAGGGATGACAGTGCTGCTTTAAGATGACTTATTGATAACAATCTATGCAACTAAAATGTAATTTAACACAAGAACAATATATCTTATTTACACAGACTGATTTCTACACACATTTATTATAGTATAAAGACACATTACTGGGAGTATTATTGCTGCGGAGCTCTGCTTACACTCAGACACACCAACAATATGGAGCTGCTAGAAAAAAAGAGACATTAAGATGGAAAAGAGGGAAAGATGGATCCCAAAATAGGGATTGTCCTCTTACATAGAAACAATTGGGAGCTATATTATGCACGCGGACACAACAACATCGATCTCCTAGAAAAGAGGAACATTAGTATGTAAAAGAGGGTCAGAGGAGGGGTTTGTATGTATGTAAAATTAACACTTTTAATACTTCCCTGTCGTACTGAAAAGGCAAATACATTAAATTCACATCTAGATATTAATTTGTGATTAAAATGTTTCACTTAACAGCCTAAGGTTTGGGATACTTACTAACTATAGACGATCAATTTTATTTATTTTTGACAAGCTTTTCAAATTATTACAATCGTTTAGGAAAGGTTTTTAAATCATTTATCTACAAAGATACCAATGAACATAATGTCATCCATAAGAATTAAATCAAGGCCTTGCACCCAGTCCGTAAATTATATAGGAACGGCACGCAGCCAGGTGATGCTGGTTCAAGGACGGATGTTCCAATAATGTCTTACAGATGCGCAGTTACTTCCTTGCCCAATAAGAACGCACACTTATTCTTATGAAACAGATAGTTGTTCTTATGAGGCAGTGACCTTCTGCATAAAGTCAGTCTTTCAGAACTACTGTTTCACTGTCGCACTGTCCATGTGTTAAGGGACCTCATGACCTCTGTTTTTTACAGTCTGTGCATGCTATAAACAGCCTATAATCTTCAGAAGAACTTATTGATAGACTTCTAGACCACAGATTTAAGAAGATAAAGATATTATTTATGGTGTGTATATTGTACATATGTACAAATGTCTGAGCAACTTTCATTTCACCTTAATTAATTTTCTAGGGTTGTACTTTTGGGTTCAACTTTGGGAAAATGTATGTTTTTGAAATTGGACTGAGTAGTAGTGAGGGGCAAGATTATTTTGGGTTAGAGGGCACATTGGTTTAACATACTGACTGTTAGTTGAGGGGATGCATGCATTTTGGATTCTGTGAGTTGCAACTCCTGTGACTCTCAGCCACAGGAACCATCCACTGTGTAGAGGACACACGTCATTGTAAGACTTCAGGATTAGCACAGGTTTAATCATGGTAGCTGTAATCAGCACTGTATTTAGTGTGAGGCTGACAAGGCATTTAAAGGGGGGCGGTAAAATAAGCCGCCCCAAACACCCTGGCAGATGCTTTGTCAGCCTTTGGTTCTGGGGGGCCCAGAAGCTGGCCGGCTGGCCACTTTGTGCCCCCCTAAGGCACAAGGTCTGCTTGTGATTGAGATGGGTGGTGATGGAGCACTCTCACCTGAACTCCCCCCTGTTCAGCTCCCTCGCACTCACCGCAGTGATGCCGGAGCCGGAATATGACGTCACTAAGAGGCGCACGAGGGAGCTGAGCAGGGACCCCAGGGACCACACGCTCAGCTGCTCGGCCCAGGAGACCCCCTGGACCACAGGGACATAGAGTGTATGTATGTTTGTCATTGAGAGTGTATGTGTGTCTGTCAGTGAGTGTGTGTGTTTGTCAGTGAGAGTGTATATGTGTTTGTCAGTGAGTTTGTGTGTGTGTCTGTCAAAGAGTGTATATGTGTTTGTCAGTAAGAGTGTATGTGTGTCTGTCAGTGAGAGTGTATATGTGTTTGTCAGTGAGTTTATGTGTGTGTGTGTGTGTGCGTGTCTGTCAAGAGTGTGTGTGTTTTTTTCAGTAAGAGTGTATGTGTGCTTGTCATTGAGATTGTATATATGTTTGTCAGTGAGTTTGTATGTGTATCTGTCAAAGAGTGTGTGTGTTTGTCAGTGAGTGTATGTGTGTTTGTCAGTGAGTGTCTGTCTCTGTCAGTGTGTTTATCATTGAGACTATGTCTGCCAGTAAGTGTGTATATGTGTCTGCCAATGAATGTGTATGTCTGATAGTGAATGTGTATATCTGTCAGTGTGTCTGTCTTCTGTCACTGAGAATATGTCTGCCAGTGAGTGTGTATATGTGTCTGCCAATGAATGTGCATGTCTGTTAGTGAATTTGTATGTCTGTCAGTATGTGTGTGTCTGTCAGCTAGTGTATGTGTGTCTGTCAGTGAATGTGTGTGTGTGTGTGTCAGTGTGTGTGTTTCTTACACTGAGTGGGTGTGTATCTGACACTAAGTGTATATGTGTCTGTCAGTGAGTGTGTATATTGTGTTTGTCAGTGTGTGTCTGTCAGAGAGTGTGTATGTGTGTTTGTCAGTGTGTGTGTCTGACTCTGATTTTGTGTGTCTGATTCTTATTTTGTGTGTTTCTGACACTGAGTGAGTATTTGTCTATCAGTGAGTGTGTATATTGTGTTTGTCAGTGTGTGTCTGTCAGATAATGTGTATGTGTGTTTGTCAGTGTGTGTGTGATTCTTATTTGGTGTGTTTCTGACATTGAGTATGTGTCTGTCAGTGAGTGTGCATGTGTGTCTGTGAGTGTGTGTATGTGTCTGTCAGTGAGTGCATGTGTGTCCATCAGTGAATGTGAGTGTGTATGTTTCAGTGAAAGTGTGTGTCTGTCAGGAAAAGAGCATGTTAAAAAAGAAGGACAATTTAGATGGGGGTGGGGTTTTGTCATGCCTAGGGCAGCACAAAACTAAAATACACCACTGGCTGTAAAGATACACAGCTTTGCAAACAGCTCTTTGTAGTATGAATATATTCTATTATAATGTGAATTAATTGTATGTATAATATACTGTTTCACACACTCTATTTATATCTAGAACATAATTAGTCTAATGTTCAGTATGCAAGGGGAAACAATTTTCCTGTGCACTCACTCTCTCTTGAGCGTTTTGATTGCTCACCAAGATGAATTTTCTGTGTTGCTTAGCAGGAAGTCTCATGTGCATTTGGCAAATCATTCCCACGTGAAAACCATCATAAAGCCTAAACTATGAATGATCACAATTTTGATGCAGCCTTTCCATTTTAAAATCCAGGTTCTGTTTTTGGTGTATTTCTTTGCCTCTCTCTGACAGAATATTTAGATAAACCAACACACTGGCTTCCTTGGTGCTGTGCTGATCAGTGATGGTAATTAGGAGTCTGCATCTCCTTTGTTCTAATCCTTTATTGCTCCAACAAGCACAGATTCATTTGTGAACATCAGTGGTGCCAGAAGGTCATGCTGTGGTCATTTTAGCATAATGACCAAGCCAGCCGTTTCCAAGACACATTTGTTTTACGTGCTAATCCAAGAAGTTCCATTAACAGAGATATTGCCAGTCAGCATCTGTGACAGTATTGGCTGGTAATTATCTCTCTTAACCCATGAGCTGACAGAGGTTTCAGTCGGCCGCGTGTCCTCAATTAAATATCTTATGTTAGAAAACACAATGCATGCAAATGATCATCACACTGACACCATCACTGAGTTGGTACTTTTGAGAAATCGAACTGCTGTATGTTAGTACGAGGTTAACTACAGGAGACTTTCTGGCTAAGCATGCCTATTACCTTATTAACTTGTTCTGTAGCCAATGTATAATAAATATGTATTTAAAAAATATCAAAATAGACAAAACTTCTCATCTCTCTTTTAAAAAAAAAACAGAAAGTGGCTGACTTATCTTAGCCATTCCCGTATCTACTATTCATACCTTTAAAGAGTATACTGAATATTAGTGTTTACTTATAAAACTGAATGGAAAATGATGATGTGTATAAAATCTAGCTGCTAAAGCATCTTGTTCGATTAAATAAAAAAATTAATAAACTAAGCACGAGGGAATAAAAAAATGTATAGTAGTGGGTACCTTATTCGTCCCTATATAAAAGTGAATGTTAATTATACCTGCAAATTTTTTAGCTGTGTATACTTGTGTCAGAGAATTTGCTTATCAGTGCCACATATATTTTATTTGATTCCTTTACATTCTATACTGGGTAATGATACTAAGAAGCTCACTTAGAGTTTTTGTTATAAATATGTCATAGATAAAATGCACTTTCAATGGTGCACAAGACACCCGCAGTCAAGCGGCTCTTAACAGTTATTGCTAAAGTAGAAGTTCCTACTTCTGTGTAAGCGATGTCAGTTCCCTCAGACTTTAGATGGAATTCCTTGGCTGAGAGTTTTCAGCTGACAATCACGAGGCAATGAATTCTATAAAATTTGGAAAAAAATTATATTGCTAAATTGGGCTTCAGCAACAGCTCTAAAAAGGGATTCAGACCACAGGCACTTGTGGGACCCAGTCCTACAATGAGAAGGTTCCAAGGGACTTCTGGCAAAATGACCAATTAAGCATGCTTTAGTGAAGCAAATTAAACAAAATGTTATAGACTGATTCTGTGTTATTATTCCCAGTTTTCTCGTATGTCTGACTGTCCATTTAATAGGTTTATAGTTTTTTAAAAAGCATGAAAATCATTTTCAAAGTTCCTAGGTATTATTTCAATACAACAGAGGGTTTAATTGATGGTATTGCCAGTTTTAATATCCAGCAGCAGTTGTTATGGTATTTGTACTGCAACAGCAGTTCTAATTGGCTGTGGGCAGGCTGAGAGTGATAGCTGGTAAAGTCCAAGAAAAGCTGGCGTTTCCTAAATTCCTCAAACCCTCACATATGAGTTGCCACTTCCCAGAAGCAATTTGAAAATTCACTGATATTTCCGATATTACGTTTTAGTAACGGATAACTGAGTAATGTATAAATCAGTAATTCATGTGAGGCAGCTCAGAGTGCGAGCGATCCTTGGGGCTCCACAGTACGTGCCAGTGTATCTGGACTCTGTGACACAACCTAGACTGCGGGGGGAGCTTCCAGCCTCTTATAACCTTATTTTCCTTTTACTTTGTTCATTCCAAATTAGCTCATATTTCTAGTACAGACTCGGTCCTGTTAATTAATTCAGCACAAGTCTGTGCAATGCCGCACAGGAGAAATCCACTGTCCAAAGGCATTCAAGCCGCATCTGTTCACAAACAAAATGGAGCATATTTAACAATGCTACTGATGAATTCTGTTCAGCTTCCAAAAGGGTAGACAGGAGAGCCAGGGGCGAGATATGACACTGCAACATCATCATTTATTGTTATGTTAATGCAATGTTACTATGCAAGATTTTCAGACAATCTAAACTTATTTCAAGTTGTCCTGCGCTGGGAAATCTCAGTATGTGGTTTTTAGACTAGTTCGCCAAGCTTACACTCTACCGGTGAAGGATCATATAAAATTTCTATTCCACAGAGCTAACACTCTGCCGTTAAAGAATCTGAAAACATATATTTACTTAGATATGTTTGCTATCCCTTTCTAATTGTTCTGTGTCTTGACAAATTGTAGTAAGGGAGCCTAAATGGTGATGTGTACCCTTTAGGCTAGCAAAGCATCATGAGAATTGCAACAGCTGGTGAAGTCTAACTTTTAGAAAATTCTTCCTTATACTAAATATTTTTTGTTATGTTTTTTTGTTTTTTTTTGTCAGGTGCTCATCCCATGAGTGCTTTATGCACCAGAATGCAGATCTCAATTTTCATCTTTATTTCATAGGTTGCTATGCTTATTACTATTTTTTTATAAAGTTCAAACATATTCTGACACTCTGCATCTGGAGTCTTGGTATGTTAACTCGCTAAAGCAGTAGTAAACCCTATCCTCAGCAGAAGTGCACTTAGGGGTTAATGGCTGCCCTATGTATTCATTTTGCCGTGTTCAAGGCAGATGGACAGCTCACCACGGGAGCATAATGTGTTTTTTGGATGTTAAGGTTATTAATACTGACATACTACTAATGTATTTTCAATTTGCATTTCATTTTTTGGGGGGTTTTGGCATCCAGCGGAATATTAATTACCTTGCATTGAGATAAAAAAAAAAATATATAGCCAATTTCTGTTCCTCTCTAATGTTTAACCATGTTTTTAACAATCTGCTGCCACAAACAGTAAATACAAAAATCCAAAAGCAGTAAATATCTAACCCACAGCGGTCATCATCTATTCTATTTTTCTTTTTGCTAATAGCTGTTTGTATAGAAATGTGGCCATTTGGCCAACCCAATGTATCAATGTTTTGAGTACATTAAAATGGTTATCTATTATGTTATTCATTTTTTGTTTCTTCGTATTCTGTCCCTTTAATGTTTACAATTTAACTGCTTACTTTATAGTCTTTCTGCACTGGTTTCCCCATCTCTAGAAGGTTCAGAGTTTTGTATTGTCCAATTTGGCACAAGGCCATTTAAACGTTAGTGAATATCTCTGTCAGTGTAGTGCAGTGGTTTTAGTGCGTAGATGCTGCACCTTTTATCTTACAATATAAAACATTGCTGTTCCTAAAGAACAGAAACGTGTACATTTGATCTAAAACATGACTGTAGTGTCTATCAGGCAGTCACTAGAGCTTCTTCCTCCTTATGTCCTTTGATTTTCAAAGGACTTCACGTTCTGTATCATCTCACACAAAGCGTGATGACGCCAAACACAGCTAACGCTTCTCAAAGAGAGTGTGATGCATGTGCCATGTGTCCTTACTTTTTCTCTGTGAAAAAACATCCGAATGGACTAGAGATCATCATGATCCCACAGTCAGTAAATCGAGCTGCAAAAGAAGACTGTATTGGATCTGGAATACAGGGAAATTAAATTTATTTTTTATTTTTTACAAAGGTTAGATATGTGGCTTAAGAATAAATATACTTATTTGTAACGTTAGAGGATTTCTTTCATTGTCCACTTATCAAGTTACATGTCTGACTGTTTAGCTAGACCTACAATAACCCTTTCAGTATTGCAATCAAGTGTGTAAAGTACTTTTCCTTGTTTCACCACTAAAACAAATGCCTATAAAAATAAAAATACTGTTTGATGTCCTGGGACCAGCAGAACCCTCTGTATATCGATATGACTCTTAAAAAAAAACAAAAAAAACTGTTTGAGTACCCAGTGAAAGAATGGAGGAGACTATTTTGCACACCCTGCCCATCTAATTCTTTGTTAATTTTGTCAATGTCCCAAAAATGACATGGCTTATGTTCCTGAAGGTTGTAGTTTAGCTGGTAGCTTTCTACATCTGGATAATTATCTTTAGCTCCCTGAAAGTCCTGTTTTGCTCATTAAAGCAGATCTGTCCCTTTCCACTTTTTCATAAAGATATATTTTTCATGAAGTACTGATTAAGACTGCGTTGGGATTTCACTGAGGTTCCAACGCAGTCCAAAGATATCATGACATTTTAGGGATTACTTTGTCTTATGGTAAAGCCTGAGGTTGACAAAAAAATTGACGAAAGGAGGAGCTCCTCTGTCAACTTTTGTCCAATCGCATCAGCCGTCACAAATGATAAATATTTAAATATACCCTCTTCTCTCTGTATTTCAATAGTATATGAGGGGAGCCTCTAAAAATGTACAACATGTCGTAAACACTTCCTTAACTCCTGCCTATGGATATAACGCTCATAGAATATAACTGCAAATAAAACAAATAAACATAACCACAAAAAATAAATCTGAGTCAGAAAAAATAGCTGAAGGGTACAAAAATGAGGGAATGTTCTGAAAAATAGGGTCATTTATATGTTCTAGGTCGACCTTTTCTGTCTAGTTTTTGCAGGCTTTATATCCTGCTTAGACAGAACAGGGGTATTCACCGTAAATGAGGATTTAAAGTGAATGTCGACAGTAAGGTAAAAATAGCCAAACTGGAAAAATTCTCTTAAGTCAGCTATGTTTTCAGTTCGGCTAGGCTGGTCTTAAATTTGAAATTTACTTTGAATTCTTACTTTAGTAAATAACGGATTGATTCAATGCATCTCTGTGAGGAGATGCTGATTGGCCAAAACAGTGTTTGGCCCTGACCCTTTGACGATTTGCATTGGATTGGCTAAAAATCGGCAATTATGATGATGTCACCAAGAGGGCAAAGCTGAGGGGGTGGGGGTAAGCCACCTTAATGGTGGGTTTTGCACTATAGGGTCAGGAATACATGTTTGTGTTCCTGACCCTATAGTGTTCCTTTAAATATAGTGGGGGGGGGAGTGAATAGAACTAGTTTTGCAAGGACTCCGACAACAATTCTCGTATGAAAGTGACTGATCTTAAACTTTCTATTAGTGGTTTCACCAAATGCTCAATAAATGCTGTGCTGAATGATATTTAAATTAATAGCAGAATATGAGCCAGTGTCTCATAAAAAAAATAAAAAAAGAATGAAAGAAAAAAA